TTGCTAAAAACCATTAGATTACATTCCTAAAGCTAGCCACCAAGGTCTAGTCCCTTATTTGGCCACTTCCTCCTCCTGAGGCTGACTACCAAGGTCCAGCTATCCAAGTACTGAAGCCCAGCAATCAAAAGTCAACTTTGGTTCACCTAATTAACATGCCCAATTCAAATGAAACACCTCATCCTAACACAGGGTTCCCCATTGTGCCTTTATAAACCGCCATTTGCCTATGGGCCATGTCTATCTTCTCTCTATCCAGAGACAGTCCTTTGTCCCCCTTGGGACAAGTACCCCTTACCCCTCTCCCATGTGCCCTTCCCCTTCTCCTCATCCTCTACCTCCTGTCTTTGTCTCTTATTTTCTGCCCTTTGTCTCTCTGAGGCAAATACATCTTCTTTGTGCTGAGAACTTGGTCTTGGGAAATCCTGAGCTAATACCAGTCCCTACACCATAAACACACACACACACACACACACACACACACACACACACACACACACACACTGGGTTTTGTTTGGTTTTGTTTTTTTTAGACAATTTTCTATGCAGCCCTGGCTATCCTGGAACTCACTATGCACACCAGGCTAGCATCAAACTCAGAGATCCACCTGCCTCTGTCTCCTAAATGCTGGGATTAAAGGCATGCATCACCACCCCTAGCACATGACTATATTTACTGTAATGCTACGTTAGAAATGAAAATGAATTTGAGGAGCTGCAAAAGCAGGCAACTTCATGAAAATGATGAAGCAGTTGAGGGTGCCTCTATGGGTTAAAGTTGGCTTGCCCTGCAGAGGCGAAGGACTTCATGCACCATGACTGACAATGGTGAGATTATTGGCAGTGGGATTTACATACCAGTGGGAAGTTTGGAAACAGATATAAGGAACACTGGCTACTGCTGCCTCTTAGCCTGTCTGTATAGGTGTGAAGCTATCACCAAGTGCCTAAAATCTCTACAAATACGCAGTTTCCACAGACATGCCTAGAACTAAGAACCTAGGGCAGTGCTGGTACTCGCTCTTGGGACAAGATCATCTTATGATGTTTGGACGCTGGTACTCGCTCTTGGGACAAGATCATCTTATGATGTTTGGACGCTTTCTCCCGAGGGAGAGTTTCCTTTAGTGGAGTGTCTCCTTTTCTTTGATATTTAGTTTTGATGTGTCAGCCTTGTCTACTTCTGACAAATCTGGCTCATCACGTATGCTGATTAACAGAAAGATTGCAGACTCCAGGGCTCACACGAGGTCACCAGTCTGAGACACTGCTTGCTGGGGACCAGGGTCCAGCACCAGGTTCTTGATAAAAATCAGACAGGATCGGGCGGTGGTGGCGCACGCCTTTAATCCCAGCACTCGGGAGGCAGAGGCAGGCGGATCTTTGTGAGTTGGAGGCCAGCC